GTTCGGGGTTTTCTATGATATTGGGCTGGGCTATTGAGCCTGAAAACATAAAGCGTGGACAGCAAAGGGCATTGTCGGATTAAAGCAATTTACAGAAATCTCGCCGGCGACGGAAAATCATTCTCCTCTCCAACGACTCTGCCTTTTCTCCGGCTCTGCAAGTGTGAGTTAGAACAATGGAAGCGAAGCCGTCGTCCAATCTCTCCTCAAAGTTTGTCGATCAAGTAGTTGTAAGCATACCATCTCCTGCCTATTTTCGCCTTCTTTGCCTTACTTGTTGTCCTTCTCGTGTTAAAGGCGTCGTCTGCTATTCTCAGTTTGTTTGTTTGTGATTTAGGTCCCAGGAGATGTGATATTGGACCTCTCAAGTATGGCCAATCAAACTATCAAGCTTGGAGGCGGCCTTCGTCAGGTCTTTATTTCATTATAGGGTTTATGGTTTCACATACTTCCTAACATTATCTTAAGTCTTCAATTTACCTTCATTTGTAAAAATGAGTTACACTTTGATTTTCTTGGTCAAACCTAGAACCTTTTGAATGCTAAGGATTATTTAGCGTTTATATACTTTTGAAATGAGTTTTAATGAAGTCTGAACTAACAAAAATACTGTTTTATGCCTAGTTACTACTGTAATTAACAAAAAATCTATGGTAGAATACTCCCACTTATACCAAGATAGGGGAAATTTACTTTGGAACCTATTCTTTTGTTGATTTCTTCCAATTGAATTTGATGTAAAAATGTCTTTATAGATGTTTGACATTTGGTTGAGATAAGAAATTTTGACTTCTTTACTGTTAGGATGGTGATTCCATTTCTGTAATGAAAGCTGGGACGTTGAGATTTACGAAGCCAAACAAATACTGGGTTGAGAGCTCCCATAAGAGGGTAAGCTTATTGTTATATGGTCACTTTTCTTGTTAGGATTCAGTTTCAGGTTTTGTGAGCCCAAAATATCTATCCTTCTTAAGCCCTGCAGCTGCATTATGATTTATGGTACCTTACAGACTTGTCTAAATTAGTTATTGCAAACTCTTCGAATGTGTATCTACCCAGTTTGCTTCAGCGATGTTCATGAAAGAAACCTCAAGAACTGATGATGAAACTATACGTTGTTTGCAAAACCATTTGAAGTATCTAAGATCAAGGTTGTCAAATTATTTTAAAATGTACATGTTTTCACATTTTTCGTTTATATAATTTTATCTAATGTCATGTCTGTAATAAGATTAGGACCCCTTTAATTATGTTCTCCCAACATGTATGATCTTGACATATCTTTTCTGTAAAGTAAGTTTCTGCTTCTTCCATCTAGTATTTTCATGATTTGTGCTATTGTCAGCTGTGCGTAATAGTCATAAGCAAATGTTCTTATCTCAAGTTGGTTCCTGTAGATACACAAATTTAGGTTATTAACAGAAATCCTCTTTATAGCTATTCTTTTTGTTATATGATGCTTCTGTTATAAATACAACAGCCAGACAAATAATGTATGATCAATGCTATATTACTATCCTCTGCATATGTGCATGTGGATGTATATTTTTATGCATAGCTTGACTTGTTTTCTGGTATTCAATTGCTTGAAGTATATGTCGATTTCTTGCGTTCTTTAGCTCTGCAAATGTGCCATAAGAAAGCCTTGACGACTAACAAGTTACCATGATTTATTGATCATTTGTAGTATGTACCTTGTGCTGGGGATAATGTTCTTGGAGTGGTGGTGGATACTAAACCAGAAGTAAGTTTCTTTGACATTTTAATTTACAATGGTACTTAGACTTAAATTTTTGTTCTGCATTATAACGATTCATTAATTTTTAAAACTTGAGCATTGTACACGTTACAGTATTTGTAAAACCATTTTTTTTTTGGATTGGAACTCTTAGTTCTTATCTTTTCTCTCAAATTTCTCTCATATGCCATTTGTGTATGCATTATATTTCCAGCAAACATATTTATGCTTGTGGTGTTGCATGCTAAAAATTGGCATCTTCGAACAATTTTCTAAGTGGTTCATCTTTCAACGTTTTTGAGTTTAAATAGAGAATCGTCTCCTTTAAGAAGGCTGAATTTATAAGAGTAATCTATCAATCAAGCTTATATTTTATTTGTAAAAGCAAAAATAAATGGATGAAAGAAGGAAAAGGATTACCATCTAAACCTTTGCCTTTAAGTTCCATCCTTTTAATCACCAATGTGGCCATGTCACAATAATAAGTTCCTACTTCTTTTCCAGTCTTTAAGAAAAGTTTGGATTCATTTTTTGTTTTATGTTTTTCGTTTGTGTTTCAGAACTTCCTTGTGGACATTAGAGGACCTGCATTGGCATTTCTACCTGTTCTGGCATTTGAAGGAGGAACTAGGAGGAACATACCAAAGTTTGAGGTATTAGACTTTCTTGTTTGTATGGTAGTTCCATCTGTGCTTGATTATTTTCTTTCTGATTGTATACTGAAATATGTAGTCATCTTTCTACCACATTATTATAAACCAAAATTTACCCTAACATTCATGGAATTTGGAGCCAGTAATGGACGCAACATGAACTGGTGCAAACATCTTTGGTTAAAGAAAAACTCTTCTCTAAGATGATGGGATCAATTTCATGATCTGGACCCTACTCAAGTATTTATAGTACTTGTGATTGTTTAAAGCAATGATGCATCATTTCAGTTGCTTAAATATGTCATATTAAACCATGTAGGCTGGTGTTATCATGCTTGTTGCTAGCATGCTTTTTTTCATTTTTTGGTTTATTATTTGCTATTGAACTGCATCTGGCAGAACTTCTCATTTGGTTTAGGTTTTACATTGCAGGTGGGCACTTTGTTATATGTTCGTGTGGTCAATGCAAATACCGGCATGAACCCTGAGTTATCTTGCATGGATGGTTAGTCATGTTTTTACTTGTGTCATGTCCTTTATTAAGTATTAGAATCGATCTTTATTCTATAAACCCCCATAGTTCCAACTGCAATTCAAGAATCACCATCCTTTCTTTGTAGCCAGTGGCAAAGCAGCAGAGTACGGCGTACTTAAAGAGGGCTATATGTTTGAATCATCCACCGGACTCTCTAGAATGTAAGAATTTGTTTCCACTTCTTGAATGATTGATTTAGGAATTTTTGCTGATGCATAAAAACAGCCTTTTATGTTTACTTATTTTATTTTTTAAAACTTTACACTTCACCAAAAAAAGAACTGAACTTCATGATCTTTCCAGGCTGCTGAGTTCTCCACCTTATCCAGTTCTTGAAGCCCTTGGGAAGAAACTCTCCTTTGAGATAGCTGTTGGCATAAACGGCTGTTTTTGGGTATGCTCCTTTATATCCCAAGACACCCACTTTTGTTACAACGTAAACATACCAAAACATCAATATAAAATCATATTCTTAAGGTCGAAGCCTTCACTTACACTGTTAAATACCCAATATTTCTACTCAAATTCTCCAAATACTTAACTTTTTCTTACCCTTTGACCCCCCCTTGGAATATCCGACCCCGAGATGCATGGTTGCACAAACGGTCCCCTAGTGTGTAGTCAACCTATGTTTATGGCTGCTACGAAGTGGGGAAATCTATACAGATTTTACTCGTGTTCTTAACATTTGTTAAATTTGGTGGAATTGGTATAGGTGAATGCATCACAATCATCAACAGTAATCCTTGTTGGAAATGCCATACAGAAATCAGAATCACTCAGCATGGTACAACAGAAGATTTACTTAGAGAAATTGCTTAAGAGCATTCAGTGATCAAGTAAGCTTAATTTGTCATGTTACCATAATTTTATATATCCTGAATAACAACACATCAAGATCTAATGCAATTAATTATATATCTCCTTTTTTGTTCTTTTACTAGTTGCGCACACTACCCCCAGTAATTTAAACAGGATTAATCAGTACAAGTCTATTGATCATAACATTGAAAACGAACAAACCACAAAGGTGGTGTCTGATTGGTTTGAGCTTGGCTCTAAAGGCCAAAGGTACCAGGTAGGTCATGGGTTCAAATCCAAGAAGGAATAAAAATCCCCTTGTGGCCACGGAGGTTCAAATGCAGTGATTCCGGGCTATCTGCAAAGCAGGTGGTCGCCCTGGGATTAGTCGGCTTGCATAGCGGGTTGGATATCCAGGTTAATAAAAAAAAACATTGAAAACGAACAAACAAGTTTATTCAACTGCACATTGTGCTTATTCTTGGCTCAAACATAAAATAGAGAAATAGGATAAGAATGACAAGTTGTGAACTTGATTCTGCTTGTGTCACTCTTTGGTTTAATTCAAAATAACATACAAATATGTTTATTGTAGAAAAAAGGTGATCAAATGACATAAATCTAGACCAAAGGGCCGTTTACCAAACGCTTACTCGGGTAGGTGAACACCAAGTTATTTTACCTTATTGGATGAATATGGTAAGGATGAAGAATCTTACCGTGTAAGAGCGAGACAAAGACCAAGAGTCTTACCCGGTAAGTGAGGGCGACGACTCTTGCTACGGTAAGCGCTTACCGGGTAAATTGTTGCGTACGATACCGTTTTGGTGGACTAAAATCTTATCCGGTAAGTAAATAACAGTGTTAAATTTTACCGGTAAGTGTTTACCGGGTAAATGTTTGATAAACGGCACCTAATTGATGTACAAAATAAACACAATCACATGTTCATTAAATACAATGTGACTAAACATGCTTCATTGTTGCCGGTTACTTGTAAAAATGTTAGGGGGCATGGTGTTGTAGTGCTGTTGCCGTTGGGTTGGTGATGTGGATCTGTGAATAGGAGGTGATGGATGGTTGTCGATGGGGTTTTTAAAATTCAAAATTAAATTTTCATTTTTTATAATTTGCAACAATACCTCCAATTAATCTTCCAAATTTAAAAGGGAAACGTCTAAAAAAAATTTAATGGACTTTAGTGTTTGGAATGATTAAGTCATTGGATAAGTTTTTAGAATAAATAAGTTCTTGAACGTTCCAAAACCTGTTAAATAAGTCATTGGACTTTTTAAAACCTGTTAAATAACTTCCTGGACTATTTAAAATCTGTTAAATACATTTTTATGATCTATAAAACTGGTTAATGTGGTAAAGTAACGGAAAAAATCCGAAAAAAACCAATGGATTTTTATATTTTGAACGATCAAGTTCTTAAACATTTTCCACATGAAAAAAAGTACTTATATTTATAAAACGAAACCAATATATCATTTTCAGTACTCTTTCGAAAACATAAAAAATTTGTATCCAAAGTATAATAATATGTATACAAAATTTGGGCATATTTACCAAAAGTTGAACCAAAATATATAACAAAAGTTGCTCCAAAAATACTAACAATTGTGCTAAAAAATGCTAACAGTTACGCCAAAAAATGCTAACAATTGGCTTTTCTTGTTGTAATCGGTTTTGGAATGTTGAATCTTGGTCTACCTTTTGTCTTAACAAGTTTAGGTGGTGGGTTCTTCTTTTCATCCTTACAAGTCCTAGCATTGTGCCCGTTTCCAAGCAATTGCTATATGACACTGTCTTCCCATATTGAGTCACTCTTATACCTTGACTCTCAGATTCTAATATTTTCCTTTTGATGGATAGTCTACCCGGCATTCTCCTCTCCTTAGGTGGGTTTGGTTTGATGTAAGGTGTTGGAGTCCACATGTTGCTCCCATCCAATGGTCGTGTAGTATTCTCATAGACCATTTGAAATTTGTGAAATTTAAACACGTGTGATGTCTTACGTATTTGATTTAAAAATAACTTACATAAACGGGAAAAAAAATCTTCATTTCCCCGTTTCCTATTAGAGATGGGGATGAAGATATGATTATATTTCCTAATAGGAATGGGAACAAGACGGGAAAATAGATGAGGGATCGGGGATAAGGATTGAAGTTCCCGTTCCATTCTCATGGCTAATTGTGATTTCGAAAACAAATTTAATGGCAACAAAATAAACAGCAAAAATGAAAAGGAAATGTGGCAACACCATTCTTGTGCTTTTATTTATTTATTATGGAAACTCAATAAATAAATAAAAAAGAAATTTCTTTAATGTTTTCTAATTATAAGTAATATATGATGATGAATATAAAATGAGTGAAATCATTAACAGTTGAATAAAAATTAAATAATAATTTAATTTGAAATGAATTCAAATATTAATGATTCTTAATAATTCAATTAAAGTACTTCATCTTTCTGACAACTTTCGCATTAATAAAAAGCATGAGAATCATTAATTATGTGTTGTTTGACCATGTGCAACAATAATAAATAAAAGTAGACATTAAAAAGAATCAAATTGTGAAACAACTATGAAATAATATTTGAAAATTGATTTTTACGGTTGTCAATTTTTTTTATGGTTTTCATTTGATTTGTCATATATATATATATATATATATATATGATATATTTCAAATGTAACCATGTTTATTTGTAACCTAATTAATTGAAATATTTATGAAAATGATGAGAATTCATTTATTATGATTTGAATATTTATATAAGATAACTAGAGTTCATTAATTATGATCAATACTTTATATTAGGAAACAATGAAAACTTCTATAAGATAACATATTCATAAAATTAAATGGATGGTTGAGATTGAGTTGTATTGGTTATACAAATGTAAAAGGTTGTATAATAACTCACCTATATATATATATACACACACACACACACACACACACACATATATATATATATATATATATATATATATATACACATGTTGTAAATCAAATAAATACCCGCTAAATGTTATAAACTATGAAAACCAATTTCATGTATTTTCAGAGATGAAACAACACAGATATATGATCTCACCCTCTAAAGCGTCCCCGCATAATAGCAATTGCTGGTGTTTGAAGTTGAAACTCATAAATCCACTCATTCGATTATGATATCCATCTTCTTACGGTTAGGTTAAAGTCGCATCGATGTAACATTACAATATTTTAATCATATTGAATAGTTTTTAAAATGCATTATGTATTTTAAATTAACACCCCAAAAAGATAACTTTAAATATAAATTTATGAATAACCCCTGAAATTGAACTTTAAAAATAATAAAAAGAAAATAAATTATATGAAAATGAAGACTGCTAAATAGAAAGACTACTTTTGACACCTTATTAAATGCAGGGACCAAGTTGGCAATATTAAGGATAATGAAAGGTTGACCAGGTTGTGGGTTGAGGATATCTGTAGGAGAAACTCGGGAATCCGAGCAAATAAATATCAGAAGTTGCACCAAATGGTATGTCAAAATAATAATTAAACCCCCTAGTTCTTACTAACAGTCAAGAATCACAATGCTTTGATTGTAGCCGGTGGCAAAGTAGCAGAGCATCTATATGTTTGAATCATCCACTGGACTCTCTAGAATGTAAGAAATAGTTTCAACTTATTCAATGATTGATTTTGGAATTTTATCTGATGCGTAATAACAGCCTTTTATGTATGCTTACTTTATTTTTCAAAACTGTACACTTTACCAGAAAAAAGCGCTAAAGTTTACTATCTTTCCAGACTGCTGATTACTCCACCTTATTTGGTTCTTCAAGCCCTTGAGAAGAAACTCTCCTTCGAGATAGTTATTGGCATAAATGTTCCTTTTTGGGTATGCTTCTTGATGACTTAAGACACCCACTTTTTGCAAGTCGTCACTTACTATATAAACATACTAAAACATCAATATAAAATCATATTCTTATGGCCGAAACCTTAACTTACAGTGTAAACGATTTACTGCGAAATACCTTCGTTCCCTTCTTAATCGACAAGTAAAACAACATGAACAAGGAGAATTCAAATATCTTGACTCACATTCTCCAAATACTTCAAAAAAAATTCCTATCATTTGAACCTCGTGGAATATCTGACTCGGAGATACATGTATGGTTACACAAATGGTCCCTTAGAAAAAAATTTATACATATTATACATGTGGGGTTGGGTTCACGTGAGACCAATGGTTTTTCGTGAGACCCGTAAGACCAATTTGTGTTCATTGATCAACTTTATAAGCTAATGATCTAATGGTCTAAAGTTGCACGGTAGCAATTTTGTGATTATTGAGAAGTCTCGTGGCAATTTTGTGATTATGAATGTTCAGATTGTAGATATAATCCAAGGGTTGTGAATTGGTATTACGGGTCTCACGAAAAACCCCTGGTCTCACATGATCCCAAGTCTATACATATGTTTGTTAACATGTTTTGAAATTGGTATAGGTGAATTCATCACAAACATCAATAGTAATCTTTGTTGGAAATGCAATACAGAAATCAGAATCACTCAGCATGGTGCAACAGAATATTTATTTAGAGAAATTGCTTAAGAGCTCGAGTAAGCTCAATCTGGTTTTGTTACCATAATGTTATATATTCTGATAGCAAAACAATTTAAATAAAAGATCGAATGCAATTAATTATATATCTTTAAGTACTTTCACACACTACCGCCCATTGTTTCAACGGGATTAACCAATACAAGGCTATTGATCATAACATAGAAAACAAATACACAAGTTTATTCAACTGCACATTGTGCTTATTCTTCGCCCGAAGGTAAAATAGAGAAATAGGATAAGAGCCCTTCAACTTGATTATGCTTATATGTCGCTCACTGGTTCTATATTAGAACCGACTTTCAAAAACTCAAAATTTCCACGGACAAAATCATAGTAGCCACCAATTAGTTGAAGTTTCTTAGCAGCTACTCCAGATTTAACATAAGAGTAGGATTGTAAATTCGCTAGCGAATCCATCACCGACTCCTGCCACATCATACAAAGCACATGGTACAACTTGATTAAGATTGGATTGGAGAAATTAGTGGGGTAAGGTTAATCTTACCTTCTCAACAAGTGTTTGGAGTACTTCTCCTGTAACGCCGGGATTCTTTGCTATCACCTTTTTCTTGGCAGGTTGAGCAATGCTAACCCAATCATCTATGAAGTCACTGCAAAAATATTCCACATTTTTTTTATTACGGAATTCTTTATTCATTTCGGATCGACATGAGATTCCCACTACATTGCATTGCCAGAATCCATGTTGTATATTTGAAAGAGGTTGGCCTCCTTTCTTGACCCCTGATCGAATAGTTTGGGATTCTGAAGTGAAAGACCAATCCTTGTATCTCCTACTACCGGTGGGGTGACAACTAGTTTTTGTATGTTGGGGGAAAACTAAGCAATGGTTATTCTAAAGATTCGGGCTTTATAGTAATTGTTAAGGATGTTTGGTCGCATAATGTTTTTTAAAAGACATGAAACTGGTTAAAGGAATTGAAATCCGTGGAATTTGGAATGGAATTGATCTGATTCAACCAAATATTTTATATATTGGTAGAGAATACAATGAAATCAATTCCATTTCAATAAATTTTGTGTCTAATTTACCAATTATAACTTTGGAATTGAAATGTAAGCATTACTAGATAATAGGTTTATCCTTCAATGATATATGTGTAAAATCTTCTTCGGTTTATAGAGAAAGAGAGATGTGGGTTATTATGCAACCATTTACATTTATACAACCAATACAACTCAATCTTAACCGTCCATTTAATTTGATGAATATGTGATTTCATAAAAGTTTTGATTGTTTCCTAATATAAAGTATTGATCATAATTAATAAGTCATAGTCATCTTTCATAAATATTTAAATCATAATAAATGAACTCTAATCATTTTCATAAATATCTCAATTGATTGAGTTGAATTGGTTGAATTTGAAACGTAATATATATATATATATATATATATATATATATAATTTAATTATATATACACACATCAGAAGTTGCCATTTTATATAAAAACCATTTAATAAAAATATCACATATAATTATTATAAACTTTTTGTTAAAATTATTAATCAATTAAAATTATGTACTATTATGGAGAAGGGTTTTTTCGTCACTTAAAACATTTTTTATGAAATTGAAATTGAATTCCAATGGTTATATCTACACTATATTATAAAATATTTGGATGAAATTTTTAAAACTATTTTTAATGTATCAGATACTGTTTAATGATACATATTATTTAAAATTCAATATTATAGGTAAATGGTCCATTAATACAGCTTTTTTAAGCTATATGTTTGAATGTATACAAGTAACTAATAAAATAATCAAATATATGATAAACATTTCAATTTCAATATAAAAAATCTAAAATATAATTAAAGTAACCATTAAGTTTTAACAAAATATTTAATTATTATCTTATAAAAAATTCATATTATTAAACCTAAAATAAATTGATTCTTTATTAAACTTAAATTAAATTATAATAAAAAGATTGAACTAAAAATTATCTCTATTAAAACATTACATTATTAGACTTAAAATAAATTACTTCGTTATTAAACGTAAATTAAATTACACAAAAAACGAGAACTTTTAAATTATTAATTTGATAATATCGGTAGAAATTTGATGGGTCTTCAAATATTATTTTTATTTAAATATAAAAACATTATCGATTTCTCAAAACGATACATAACCGTATTATAAAACAAAACATTAAAATCAAGATATATCACATCGCATTATACGATATTTTCTAACAGAAAAAGGGTTTTTTCCACTTAATTAACACTCTTTTTTGAACGAATGGAAATGGATCCCCAAACCAAAGGCTCGATAAGATATTTGAACAGAAATATTGCGTTGTTTTTAGATAAAAGAGACTTACTAGGAAGCTTCTTCGTTCGGAAGAGATAACAGTCGGTTGATTCCACCACATCGACTATGTCCAATCACCACAATTACCTCAACCTATAACAAGTGTTTTCTTCACGTTAACGTTCAGTCTTACGTTACGTCGTCCTTGTTCTCGACTTCTTTTTAAGAATGGAAATAATGTTAATATGTTCTCTTTTCAAGAACACAAATAAAAATTTCATTTCTTTCTTTTTCTTCCCAAATTCGAGAACACAACACTGACAATTTCCGATGGTTTAGGAATATTTCAATTTATACATACACTCGACTGTTCATAGTTTTCAAGAATTAAAAGAATAGTTAGATAGAAATACAAGCGGTTTTACAAACTGACCTTGAGAGCCAAGACTGCATATTCAATAATAGCACCAGTCCCAGAGTACCTAAGCTGAAAGGCAAACATAACAATTACTAGCATCAATAACGTTACAATCTTCTACTAAAAGGGTATGTCGACATCCTTTGGTGCGTCCCTTTCATATCAGCTCAATAACTATTACGAGGGAGGTAAATTGTGTGTTCAAAGAACAAGTGAATGAATGGTATTTGAAGTCTAAATCAAGATCTCTCACTCATTCTACAAAAGTATCTACTTTCTTGCTTGTTAGAGTTTAAGGGGTGTTTGGGATTGCTTATAAAAACAACTTATTGACTTATTCCGGTGTGACATCGGCAATAAACACTTTTGAGTGTTTGGATAAACAACTTATACCGGTGCCAAACCGGTAATAAGGAGTTTTTGAAGAAATTAAATCTTTCTGATTTATAATAAGTTGATAAATGCTTTTGTAGACTAGCATAAATTGTTTCAAATAAGCAATCCCAAACACCCCTAAAATAGGACGAACGTAACACACAATCTTTTAAGCAATTATCCTCACATCAAATGGTTTTTCATATCTTTTCCATATTTAAAATCACCCCAAAAAAGATAAACTTGAAAATCAATTTATCAGTAATCCTTAAAATTGAACTCTAAAAATAATAGAAAGAAAACAGATCAAATGAAATGAATATTGAACTGTTTTTGAGACCTTATTAGGTGCAGGGACCAAGTTGGCAATATTACGGGCCATGAAAGCTTCCCCAGGTCGTAGGTTCAGGATATTTGTAGGAGAAACGCGGGAATCCGAGCAAGCAAATATCAGAAACTGCACCAATTCAATTATTATTTATGTAAAAATCGAATTTTTATATCTGAGATAACATAAAAAATTTATTGGATAATGTGTAATCATCACTTTTTCTTAAATATTTTAATACTGATATAATCACCTTGGGTTCTTGTTTCTCTGCTAGTTGACGGTAGTAATCTGGAAATTTACTGCAAATTTTTATTTATAATAATAAAATGGATGAGAGTAAGAATTAGTTTACGCAACTAAATTTTTAGAGTTCTGTTATATTCATGTAATTAGAGGAGGTTTGATAGCTTACTTGAATTCATTAGTCTTGAATACGCGAAACCCTTCGTTGATCCTTTTTATGGGGTCAAAAGGGGGCTTTTCGAGACTTGTATCATTTGTGTTCTCTGCTTCCTCTTCTATTCTACAATTCAAAATTGTACTTTTCATCATCATTAGTAGTGACAGACATAAAACACCATTTGATTGTAACGGTTGATACTCAAAACACCTTAAATATAAATACAACACCTTAATGTTTCTGTTGATGCGATCACCTCATTGTTCGAGTAATCTGCCATATTCAAGTGTTGTGTTCCTGCAACTTTTGTAAAAAAAAAAACATGATCAAATAACATAAATGTAGACTAATTGCATGATGTATGGAGATCATCAATATACAGAATAAACAAAATCACATGTACGTCAGATTCAACAGGTCGTCGTTTAATTACTTGGAAGAAGGTGAAAGGGTTGGTGACATCACAAGGAGGAGGGTGGGGATCGAGAGGAAGGAGGATGGTGTTGGGGAGGGGAAGGAGTTGTTACTGCCGTTGGGTGAGTAGTCGTGGTGGATACAATATTTGGGGGTGGGAATGATAGTGATGGTGCAGTGTCGTCAATGGAAGGTGGTGGATGGCTAACGATGGGTTGTTTAGATTTGCACAAGACAACCGAATGATGGCCTCCTTTATTAAAACCTAAATATAAAAAAGCAACCTTCTATCCACTGACGGAAAAGAAAACGACTAGTACCTGAATTATATTTGTCGAGAATGTTTGAAAAATGAAAGTTAAGTGTCTGATTTAAATTGAGAAAAATGGGTGTATTTATAGCCAATATGAAGCCATAAACTATTGCCTAATTTCCTCATAACCATTCCCATCAAATGTTATGATGTCATCTACCTTTTTTCAACATGACAGTAATCGAGAATCTTATTCATTAAGACGTGAAGGTTCGAGAATTTTACTTGGTAAGCGATGAAGGAGAAAACTCTTACCTAATAAACGCTTATATGTTACCTAATAAAATAAATGAGGTGGTGACTCTTACCAGTAAATATTTACCCAATAAGCTTTTGATAAATGAAGTCATACGAAAAAATATTACATAATTTTAGTAATATGATTTTGACTTGCCAACATTCATCATCATCGAATTTGCGACTACGTATGTTTTGATATAAATTTTTGACTTGTCAACATCCATCGGTATTGTTAACGAATGTTTGACTTGATATACAAATATTCTCTACGTCTAAAAAATACAACCGTGGTAAAAGTTATTACCATCACTTACCAGGTAATTAAGACTCTTAGTCCTTGTATTTGTTTTTGTCGGACAAGATTTTTGGTCCTTGTCATATATTTATCTGGTAATATAATGTGACTTGGTAAATGGTAAGTGCTTACCCGAATAAACATTTGATAAACGGACTCTAAAAAATAAATAATACTAATGAAGTAACTCATACAAAACGTGTGTAGTTCATAACTAAAAACCAATTTTAAATTTATTTTGTTTTTTTCTTAACGTCTTTTTTCATAAATTAAGTCTTAAACTCTTTAGGGGTTGTTTATTTATCTCTTAATAATTTCATTAAGAGGCAGCATCTGAATTGTTAAGAGGTGAATCTTGTTTGACAAATTTTTTTTTGTCTCTGAGTGATTTTAAAACCCTCTGAATGATTTTGTATATTGGATATCCCTTAACCATTAAGAGCCCTAATTTCATTCTACACGATTACCAAAAAATTATATTTCATTTTGTGTTATATCATTCTGCATCAAACCATTCAGCCCCTTAATATTTAAAACGAATTCATATAATTAACGTTTTGTAATATCGATTTCTTTATTTTATTTCTCTATCGATCCGAATTCTTTGTAATTTTCTTTATAATTTTCATAAATATATTATTATATTATTTTTATCAGGGTTTAATCATGATATTTATGGTCATTTAAAATAAGCAATTTGATGACAAGAACATTGATTCAATCCTTAATACTTTATGTTAATTAATTTAACTAAACTTAATTAAACAATAATGATGTAATTTATATTTTTTAATTGCAAATAAATTACTAATAACTTGGAAATTTGTAGATATATTTAAATTAAAATAAATAAATAATATCACATTCAATACATATCCTATGTTTAAGAAAGGACAAATATTTAATTTGACTTCTCAATTAAAATATTTATTTTCTTTATGTCATGTTTAAAATAACATAACATAACAATATAATATCAAGAAAAGAACCATATAGTTGACATCTAAATGTTTGTTTTGATTTCACATTATAAGTCATAAATTGCGAATCTCGTTTATCTGGTTATATACCTGTCATGGATTGTGCCGATCATACGAAATAACTATAAATATGGTTTTTGTGGTTTACTTTTATTACGTACGTATTAGGTCCCTTGTCCTAGTTAATAGTTACGTTAACGTATTTCTGTTAAATACCCTTCACAAGTTTTTTTAATGCACGAGTTTCTAAACCAAATTACAAATATGAAGGGTATTTCCCAAAAAACTAAAAAAAATCAATGCTTTCGTTTACGTTTACAACCTATGCATCGAATTTTTTTGGCAAAGGCTTCTGATGTGTCTAATCAACAAAAACCCGATCAGTCAATGGGATGAGGGACCACAATCGTAAACATTTGTAAAAGATGTTGACTGTCGATCTAATTTTCAAACCACAAGGACATAATCTGTAACTTTTGACATACCATAAGGACCAAAACTGCTATTTGGAAGGTTTAAGATAATTATCTAGGCTTGTTTTTACAAGAGACCAAACAAATTTAACACTAACTAGAAGAGTATTTGCGTAATGCAGCGAGACATATCTCGATTTTAATGTTCTAATTTATTATTTGTCTCTGGCGATGTTATAATACGATTTTATGTGTTTTTAAGAAAACAATAATGATTTTATTTTTGAATAAAATATAAATTTGAAGATATTATAAAAATTTGAAAAACAATATATCAATGTTTATATCAACTATTTAAAAGTTTTCATTTTTTATGTAATTTCCTTAATTTTTTATTATTATAATTTAATTTAAGTTTAATAACGAAATAATTTATTTTTTGGTTTAATATAATAACATTTTATAAAGATAATAATTAAGTATTCTGTTAGAAYTCAATGATTATCYTAATTATATTTTAKATTTTTTATATTTAAAATGAGATGTTTATCTTATATTTGATTATGTTTATTTGCAATTAGTTTCACGAATTCAGATATGGAGCTTTAATAAATTGTACTTACGCATAATCTACTTGCAATCTTGAGTTTTAAGTATTAATAAACAGTACTCTACGCATAAAAAAATTGTTTTTAAGAGTTTTTGTGAAATACTTTATAATATAGTATAGATAAATAAACTTGGAATATGGAAAGAATTTGGTGTTGGGTTATCTTGGTGAACACATTCGACAATGGAGTGAAGAGAAAGTTATTTATATACCGAGTTTAATGAAGAGAAAGCTGTTTACGATTTTCTTTTATTTAAAAAAGACAATATCTTTTATTTATAGGTGAAAGTAGTTAAGAATGATCGAGTTTATAACAAAATTTAATTACAAACTTAATTTGAAATAAATTCAAATATTAATGATCCTCGATAATTAAAATCTGTTCATTTTTGCAACAACTTCTTGCATTGAAATCAACTTTACGTGCACGAAATAATGCTTTTCTCTTAAGTTTAAATTATAAGGATTTGAATAGTGTTTTGGAATTATTATGATAATGAAATTTCAAAACCAAATAAATGCATGATATTTGGGTTTTCATTATTTCATGAACATGGTTATTTAGATTATGTTTAGTTTTGTTGTATATATATATATATATATATATATATGGATAATACAAATAAATGATTTTTTTTATTTGACATGGTGGCAGTCTGAATCTTATCTGAACTACGAGAATAACTGATTAAGCCGTGTCATAAGGGGTCGTTCTCCAAACTGGACGGGACCAACCCTTTAGATTGTTTAAATAGGTTGGGTGACAGATTGACCATAGGAGTACTCTGGGACATAAATCAGGACAACAATAATGGAGCATAAGGCGACGCCGCCTGTTTTCAACTGATTTTCAAGGCTCGGTAATTTTTTAACATCCATAAAACCTCGGCTCATTCAAAATTCCACAATAGAAAATCATTATAAAAACAAAGTCTAATTAGCATCATTTTCACATGCGGAGAACTTGAAATTTTTTAAGTTTGTTGAAAATTGATATTTTCGTTTTTATGCTATTTAAATTATGGTTTTCGTCTATGTGGTTTACAATTCATTGTTATTTTCGTCTCTTATATTTAACGGTAAATTATAAACCAGTAATTATTGGAGTTAATATGAAGGCTGGAAAAAACATTTTAAATTTTAATTATATATTTAAAATTTTATCTTTCTAGAAAAAATTTAAACTATTACCCAAATTATTTATTGTAACCAATGAAAGTTTATGATATAATTTGTGTTCAAACTTGAATCAATTGGGTGATTTTAGCTTTATTTGAGTAAAAAAGAATATTGTTATAATAGTGATATATTTTATAATTACTATAAGGGTATTCACGCAATGCAACAAGATATATCATGATTTTAATATTTTATTTTATTTTTTATCTCAATGAATGTTATAATATAGTCTTATGTGATTTTGAAAAAACGATGATGTTTTTATTTTGGGAAAAGTACAATAAAAACCAATGGACTTTCTTGTTTGGAATGATTAAGTCCTTAGACTTTTTTTTGGAACAAATAAGTCATTGGACATTCCAAAACATGTTAAATAAGTCATTGGACAATTTTTTGGAACAAATAAGTCCTTGGACATTCCAAAATATGTTAAATAAGTTCTTGGACAATTTTTGGAACAAATAAGT